CACCAGGCGACGGCAGAGGAGGAGGAGGAGGAGGAGGAGGAGGCGCCGTGGAAGAGGGAGACGTCAACATGGGGGAGGTGGATGCGCGGGAGGGAGGGAGGCGGGGACGGAGGGGGTGGGGAAGAGGCCGGAGGAGGTGGGGAAGAGGCCGGAGGAGGCGGAGAATAGGCCGGAAGAAGTGGAGAAGAGGCCGGAAGAGGTGGAGAAGAGGCCGGAGGAGGTGGAGAAGCCGGAGGAGGTGGAGAAGCCGGAAGAGGTAGAGAAGAGGCTGGAGGAGGTGGAGAAGAGGCCGGAGGAGGGAGAGAAGAGGTCGGAGGAGGTGGGGAAAAGGGTGGAAGGGGTGACGCCGAGGGTGGCGGTGTTGGTGATGAGGATGCCGGGGTTGGCGACGATGAGGATGGAGCGAAGGGCGAATAGAACGAGAGGTCCGGGTCGGCGCAGACGGCCGGGCGCGACATGGGATGGGAGGAAGGTTGGGAACGGACGGGGTGACGGGGGCGGAGGGGAGGAATGGGGGGATGTGAAGGAGGGTGGGAGAAGGGTTGGAGAAGGGTGGGAGAACGGAGAACAAGGCGCGCGTGGGGTGTGGATCATAAAGGCGACAGGCAGAGATCAATGGTGACGTGCGCACCCGTGATTGGGCACAATATTGGCGTTCTACAGAGTCTTTGGGTCCTTCCATGTCTGCAATGCGACACGCAGGACACCGCAGCTACGTGTACTTGATCCGTGAACGAGTCCCATTGGCAGAGTACAGTGCGCGAAATTAGAATACTGTAAATATACAGTGATCCCTTTGTAACTGGATACAGTACAGTATTTGATACAGGGGGGGTCTCTTAATTAGTGCACTTTTAGTTAGTGCACATTGGACTTAATGCACCCTCTGATAGCTTGGCACGACTTTGTACAGGTGTACACGTATGTTCACGCGAGCACAATGGTCGTCGCCGTCCGTAGAGAGCGGGTTCCATTCTTTTACAGATCCCAGCAACCTTATGCATCTTCGAACAACTAATCACACAATGAGCACAACTGAACCAGCATCCAGGGCGTCAAGAACACGCCTTACCCTTTCGCAAAAAGAGGAGGTGCTGCGGCGACTTTCACAGGGTGCTCGGCACGTCGATTTGCAGCGTGATTTCAATTGCTCTCCAAGAACGATATGCAACATCTTGCTAAGCGAGCGTTGAGCCGTGTCTATAATGAACACACGAAGCGTCAGCGACGGCAGACGCTGGTAACGGAACATTTCGTTGCCCCGTAAACTACTTTTTAGCGAGCCCCTTAGATAATGCACATTGAAGATAGTGCACATAGAATGCGCATGGCACGGGGGTGCACTAATTGAGGGAGTCGCCTGTATTTATAATTGCTGTAAGTGGATTCTGAAAGCAAGAACGGGTAAAGTATTTACGGGAGAAGCGATTTTAACAATTGTACAGTATGTAGATTTCCAGTTTGCAGGGTGTGGCTCGGTTTTATGCGACTACAGAAAATGTGATTTTTAGAATTATAATTGGTTTTTATTGAAAATTAGGATGTGTTCTGGAGCCTTCCAGACGCCCGAGGGGCAGCGACAAAAGGGCAAGCTCAATGCCCTGGCCTGGGAAGAAAGAGAGTAGCTGAGCTAAGGCAGAAAACGTGAACAAAAGGTAAAGCGAACCGACACACCCCCAAACACACGTTGACATGGTACTCTTGTGGACGGCCGACGCCAACATGCAGGCTAACCCTTCCGCACTTGTATTTAATGGCAAACAAGGAGCTGATGTTGCACAGTTCCTCTTTGTCTATGAGAATGTCGTCATGAGAGGAAAAACCGACACAGATAAAGCAGGAGAACTTTTGTGCTACCTCCAGGGGGAGGCATTCGACTTTTATTATGACACCTATGGCCATAATAGTGATCTGACGGATGACGCCAGTGACTACCCGGCCGTGAGGAGTGCACTACTGGACCGCTTCCAAACGGTGGACTAACCTGAGGAGAAAATTCGTCTTGCTGTCGCCAGCTGACTAGACCACAGAGACCTGTCGCGTTCGCTGAATTAAATGGATCGTTGCTTCGACAAAGCGTCATTTAACGCGGAGGCCAAGTTTGGGATACTTCGAAACGCAGAAATGGAACATTTTGAACTGGCCCAGTTCGTCCTGAACAGAGCACCTACATCGTATGAGCCTCTGAAGAAGTCTGTCAAGGACTTCGTCGCCGATCGCAAGCCTTTTTAGTAGCACGCCCTTCCCAATCGTTTAACACTTCAGCAATGAGACGCATCTTGCAGAAGCCGGAGAGATTCGAAAAGACAGGGAACCTTGAGAAAAATGTCGACTCTCTTGCCGACCAACTGGCAGAGCTATCACTGTTGGTGAAGAAGAAGCAGATAGTCAAGCCGACAGAGACCGTTCGCACGTGTTCCTTTTCAAAGGAACCTGGACGTAGCGTCGTACGCTGTCGTTCCAGCCCAAACCGTGACACTCGCTGCCCCAAGCGTGGTAAGCAAGGACATGGCGAGAACACGTGCTAGTCTAAATTTAGGGTGACACGACCCAACGTAGATACCCCTCCCAAGACCGCTGATATCGCCAAAGACGGTTCAGGTGATTCCCAAGTGACGTACATCGACGAATCAAAGAATGGAGACGTTGTGGCAGCAGCTAAAAAGAATCTGGAGGGTGAGGCGCTTCCTAAGCAGCTCAAAACCCATGAGGAAGTGTCCATACCTCGCCTTCTTAATCCCCTCCTTCCTCCCGGAGTTACTATCGGGGCCCCACCGCATGGGAAAGAGCATGTAAAGCCCCGCCGTAAGAATATGAGCAAAAGATCGGACAGGAAGTCTGCCCTGCAAGAACATGTCGAACGATACATTGTCATCGCAGAGCTCGAGAATGCGCCGTCTGGATTAACATTCGGTCAGCTCATTCGCGGCGATGCCGATCTTGCGAAAATGGAGATTGGTGGCCTGTTCTCGAAACGAAGTGGCCGCAGCCGAGCGTACGCCGGCCATGCTGACACGAAACGGAGGAGGCTGAGACTCGTCAATGTTCGTGTTTATGGGACGGAGACCCAGGCTCTCCTTGACTCTGGTTCAGTATCGAACATTATCTCCCCGCAAGTCGTTTCGAAACTTTGTCTCTCCCCGCAGCCGACGGGAAAGAAAATCACGGTAGCTGACGGCGCTAATGCTCCTTGTCTGGGAACATTGCTTGTAGTGCCCACGTCGTTTGGAGATCTGACGGTAAACCTGGAATACCTGTTAGTGAAAGGTACACCCTTTGATTTGATCATCGGCCTACCTTCGCTTGAGGAATTGAAAGCCTGTGTCGTGACTGCGAAGTTGAAGCGTATCAAAGCGCCTCCTCTAATAAGTACTTCCTTCCGTCCAAGGTGTAGTATAACCCCGCCCTGGGTCTTTATTTTAGATTAGATCAACTCAGAATCGGATCGGTTACTGTAGGCCTCGATGCTCTACAGTACCACCACGTGTACCCCCAAGTACAGGGGGCGCACGTGTACACGTGTACGCGCGGGACCGAAAAGCGCGCACACACGTGTACTGTCAGCCCCGATGGCACTCACGGATAGTGCTCGTCGAAGACTCCCGTTTCGCCTCGCCCGGGCCGTCCGGGCAAGGTCGCCCTGACAGGCCGACCTCGGTGAGACGACCCGAGGACCGAACCTCTCCGTCCGCAGAGCAATTGGGTGCGTTCGCGCACCTCTCCGCTGAGCTCAACGCCACTCGTCGTCGTGCTCGTGACATGGAACGTACCATGGCCGAAGGGCTACCCGGTGCCCCCTCGAGAGGGCCCG